ATTCAGGATGGGTAAAAACAAGAGCACCATTAACAAATCTAAAATTTCCGAGGTAAATACGGGAGCGATTCGACTTGTGTAATTTCCCGTTAACATACCAGAGCATATTTTGACAACGCGAGCTGCTGGCGAACTCGCGAAGATGCCGTGGCATCGTAACCGTTTACCTTGGCGACCTGAATTATGCAAGTTAGTCTCGACTACCATCCATGCCCGTGAACGTTCGTTCGTTGCGCCGTAATGTGAATTTAACCGGAACTTTGCAGACGATCTAATTAAAGAGTAAAGGACCAAAAGTACTGCTCGACGCTTGTTTTCAGTATTTAGACGGAGATTTACGGCGTGAACAAATTGCGTCAATTTATTTGTACGAAATGTCCAACTTTTGATATATTTAAAATGAACTTTCAAAGGAAATTAAAAAAAAAAATATATATATATATGTTACAGTTTCGTAGTAGATATAAACATCGTATTAGCAATTGTATAAATAGACATTGATTGATTTATAAGCACGATCGAGAGACTCAAAACTGAGAAATTGCATGGCACGTATACGGACTTGAAAGCGATACATGTGCCGGGATCTTTATGAGAGGAGTTGCAGCGATAAGGCGACTCCTACTTCGCCCGGAATGTCGGATAATTGGCACATAAAGCTCAGTTTAATGCTATCTTTAAGGATCGATCGGTTATCCACGAGTAGAGCGATAATACCATGCTCTATTTCCCGAAAGTTCGAAACCCTTGTTATCAAAGCTCGGAGTATGTACGTACCGAGATATATTTGCTCTTTCTGAAAGGATACCTATAAATCTAAGAGAAAGCCCCCAAATGGATGGGACAGTAAAAGGCAGCGTAAGTAATATGAGAGTAAACAATGGATCTGTATAACTCCAAATTGATCATAATGGGAGTAAGAGTAGATAAATGAAATTTTGCGTTGGAACTTCTATGACAGATGGTCTCGCATTTCCAGAGAAAATATCTTTTAAAATTGAATATCAGACTCTAGTTTCTCTACGGTTTGCTACACCGCCTTACGACAGAAAATGCATTCGTCGTATGGAAGAATAAGAATTCGCAAAGCTTCTCCGTCTTCCTCTGCTTCGTCTTTCTCTTCGGTGAAAGTATATATAAATTAAAGAGCTATTAGTCACGAAACAAAATGATTCATGGCTGGAATAAGGTTACATCGCAGACTCTCCTTCGTTCGCGAAAAAACGAAAATGGAAACTCGCGTGAAATCCGTTTCGGTAAAAATCACAAGAACCGAGAACTTTTATATCTTGGGGCCGAGTGGAAATTAGAATTTATAAGCGTGAACTACTTGGCATACCGCTTGGTTCGATTTTCTATCTATAAAGGAAGAATACTTAAATAAAAAAGAGCAAACGGATGTTACGTTATATCTATTCTTTCAAATTACTGTCGCGCCTTACGACCGGATTGTACAACACGCCGAAATGCATACGCATACAGGATTCCCTGATCCACTTTCTTCACGAAGTATCGTAAAGCCGCGCATCGTACGCTACATCGGATGCGCGCCTTACTCTGTATCGGCAACATCGGCGTGCTCGGAAGAAGAGAGGGAATGAGAGAAGAAACGTTATCTGCTTCCAGCAACAAAGTTTTCGTGCTTCCAGCGTATTTTTCTGTTTAGGTTATATAACCCGACCTTACCTCAGAGCCGAATGTTTCGCGGAGATTACCTGTCAGAATGCGTATTTTCCACCGGCGAGTAAATTTCTTTTCGGGGTGGGCTGTAAAAAATGTTTCAATGTGGCAAGACGGTCCTTTTAAAAACTGAGCATATTGCTCTTTATTCTAGTATATGTACACCTTTGTCCTTTTAATGTTGTTCTGATTTTGACGCAAAGCAATAAGATGCTACAATTTATAAAGAATTACGTGATAGAGATGAACAAATTCTTCTTGGAAATTATTGTACAATTATTTTGTTATTCAATATAATTCCTTATGTAATTAATAGTTGATGCAAACTGCCAAATTACTACAAAATTATTAAAAATACTTCTGTTATTGTCAAATAACGTCAATAATTTTATCAATAGAAGATATTTTTCACATTCAGCAAACATACTCTATAATAATTCACTAACATATTTTCGGTGTTATTTATACTGCAAAAGAAGAAACAAACAAAAGTGGATGGACATAATGATATGGACAGCTATGTGGGATTAAATAATATTTATTGTTTGAATGTTTTCTTATTAAAAGATAGAAAATAGAGAGAGGGGAGATCGGAAGA